CTAATGAGATAGGATTTATGAGAGCACTCACATTTATCACCATCCATCGATCTTCTCCAAATTTCACCCTCAAAACATTGAGAATAGCGGCGATATACTCGCGGCAACAGTGACAACCATTTGGTTACACACACTTCTCCTATAATGGCAATGAGTGAAAGTTTTTCCCAGTAACCATAGCTTCATGAGACGAGAGGAGTACAATAATGTAAGTTTAGACGAGGTTCATAACTTTGATTGTGTTATCAACTCAGAGGAGGTTGGCCATGTAAGGAAAGTTTCTTGAAAAACAGAGCAAAAATGATGAAAACTATTTGTATTTTTTTTGATACCGAATTCCCGAACATATGACCAAAATTCGGGAACACTGACCCAAACATTGCTTATTTGTTCGAGAATACAGGCTTGAACATTGATGATTTGTTCGACAATACAGGTTCAAACATGGAAATTTAATAGATTTTGAAGGGTTAAAATTGTTTACATTTGCAAGAATTTTCATTTTATCAAGTTTGAGGATACATGCTAGAATATTGATTATTTGTTTAGGAACACATGCCCGAACATAACTTATTTGTTCGGGAACATAGGTCCGAACATTCTCGATGAAAGAGAGACGAGAGAGATTTCAGGGAATGAGGAAAGAGCGAGATTGAGATTGAGCAAAATGCGAATTTGCTCCCTTTGAACTATACATACACATAGGTATATATTTATATCCGTTGTTTTCAAGGTTTAGGGTTGATCAAAGAAATGAATAGAATTGAAGGAAGCCACATGCACCTAATGCGAACAAAAAAGCGAAGATCATAAGGAATATGTTCTTTGCACCTGTTAAACCCACTAAACCTAACCCACTACTACCTACCACACACACTCACCTCCTCACCTAACCTACCACTACCACCTCCACTTCATCCCCTACCACTTCACCTACTACCTTCTTCTCTTCTATATATTTTGATCATTGTAAACATAACAAAATATATCAATATACACAACAATCTTGTAATACAACATCAATCAATAATAATATAGATACATTATTCTCTGTATTTCTCTCTTTACACATTAGATTTAACAGCACCGATTAATTCACTTTAAAAATATTTTTCTTCCACCGTCGTGAGGGACAATTGGTTTTGGGGAATTTTTTTTGTTAGGGTTTTGGGAGAAAATGGTTTTTAGGGGTGTGAGAGTGTGCACTTGAGTGAGGGTGAAATTTTTGTAAGAATAATTTTGGTATTATTTGATGGGAGAAAAGAACTTTTAAGAATTTTAAAATTTATAAGTGGGGTCTAAAGAAATGGAGAATCTAAAATAATAAATGAGGTATTAACAGTGGTACTCAATCAAAAATCCATCAAATTGGTTGTGAGCAGTAGTTTTTTCAAAATAGTAAAAAAAAATAAAAATAATAGTGCTTGATTATATATAGTTTAAGTTGTTCAAATTTTGAAAATGACATTTTGCCATTCAAATCAAGCTTCAACAATTACTGATTTATACAATCATCTCGAATTGAATTACCTGAACTAAAAATTAGAACTTTAGGAATTAAATAAATAAAATTGATAATTTAAAAATGAAATATAAATATAACGATGGTTTAGGTATCGAAAGTGAAGTTAACCTTTTGTTTTAAATTAAAAAATCAAAATCAATCACATTATTTTATATAAAATTATGTATGAATTTTTTATTTGTATATTATGCTTCTAAACATTTCAATCTTATTCATTTCCTTACACAACAAGAGCTCTAACTTTTTATATATACTATTTTATGTGGTGTTTTGAAAAGTTGATAAAAAATTGACTTTTTAATTTATTTTTTTGGGTGATTTTTTTGACTTTTTTGTGTTAAAAAATTGACTTTTTTGTGTTAAAAAATTGACTTTTTTTTATGACTTTTTGTGTAAAAAAAATTAAAAAACCAAAAAATTAGTTTTTTTTTTTTGATGTGTGTGTGGGGGTAAGTTTTTGTTGGTAGTTTTGTACAATTAAGTGCTAGTCTCTCTTTTGTTAGGTGCTAGGTTGTCTTCTTTCAGTCCAATATGTATGAATGCTTTCATGTTCTCCATTTATTTATTTGTGCAATTAAGGGCTAATCTCTCTTTTGTTAGGTGCTAGGTTGTCTTTTTTCAGTCCAATATGTATGAATGCTTTTGTGTTCTCCATTTATTTATCTTTCATTTAAATGAAGTTGTTATCTTTTTGTCAAACAAAAAACAAAAAAGGTTGTTTGATAAAATTAAATGAATCTTGGTAGTAAGTGTCCAGTGAAAAGTTTTAAAGGCAACCGTATTTATGGTTCCTATTGTAAACTTCAAAAAAATATTGTCTTCTTTCAATAGAACAAACAGAAAATGTTTTGTGTTGGACCAAAAAAAAAAAAAATTTTGGATGTCAAGTAGTCTCTCACCTAAAATACCTTTATACTGTGTTTGGTTGAGGGATTTGGAAAGGAAAATGAAAAAGGTGTGTGAAACTAGGTGAAAATGTAGGTATATTTTATTTACATTTCACCTAACTTTTCCTTTTTCCTTTCCAAATCTCTTCTCAAATCCTCCAACCAAACACAACGTTAATATTATTTAGAATTCAAAATTCATTATAATGTATATTTATTTTTTGAACTAAAAAAGAAGTAAAAGAAAGAATGCCCAACCACATTCATGATTCAAATGTTTAAGGTTAGGGTTTACTCTACAGAGATTTTGGATTTTCAAATAATTTGAATTTTGCAACTTAGGTTTAAAAAATTTTAAATTCGTAATTGAAAATTGAAATTTAAGTCATTTTGGAAACACTAATTATTCATGATTGAAATAAAGATGGTTCTTAAATGAGATAAATTATACTAATCTCTCTTAAAAATTTGAAAAATTTATTCCATCACTAAGATTATAAAAGTATTGTATATTGTCACATTTCATAGTTTACTGTTAACTCATGTTAATTAGTGCTTCAACTTCGAAAGTAGAGAATGTTTCTAGTTGAAAACATTTTGATATTTATTGTTATTGAATATTGTATATATAGTGAATATAATACATATACAATATCAACTAACATGTATGAGCTTTGTGTAGATGTGAGTGATGATATAAGTGAAATTGGTGAAATGAGTGCTTGAGATTAAATAAACAGAGATCCTATTAAATTTTTTTGGGATAACGTTTGGTTGATAAAAAGGAGTTTGTATTAATGTTTTTAAATGGGATAATGGGTTCAAAGGATTGATGTGTTGATATTGGAGATGGGAATGAATTTCAATGGGGTAGCAATTGAAGGATAGAAGATAAGGGTAAGACAATGTGGCTTACAACAATGTAAGTTATAGTTGGGTGATGGATGAAGAGAGAAGTAAGGTAGAGTAAAGTAGAAGGGAGAGGACAATAGAAAAATTAAGATAATACGATAATTTCATCTATTTATTTGATAGTATTAATAATTACACTTTTTCCTTTTTTTTTTTGGCCACCATTAAACAATAAATATTGATAGAGAAATTAGTGTAATTTTTAAAATGTTATTGATAGAAAAATTAGTGTAATTTTTAAAATGTGAAAGGAATTTGTAATATTAGTGTAATTTATCTTAAAAAATATAACTACTATCAAAGGAAATACTCTTCAATTTTAATGATTGTATTAAGACTGCGTTTGTTTTAACGCTGTGTTTGTTTGGTTAAGCGATTTGGAAAAAAAGAAAAAGAAAAAAGTGGATAAAATTAAATGAAATATAAGTATATTTATTCACATTCCACCTATCTTTTCTATTTCTCTTTTTAAATCCTTCTTTAAATTCCTAATCAAACACAACATAAAGGTGTGATAATTATACGCACTAATTGGTATATGTATTAATGAATGTGGTATAATTTTATTTACTTTGCTTGGTTATACTTTTCAAAAAATATTTTTCAGAAAATTCTACTTTCTTGTTTTTCATGTTTTTTTATTTTTACTAAATTTTTTTAATATTTTAAGCAATTTGTTTTTTACTTTTTAAACATACCTAACATAAATATATCTAAAAATTAAAAAAAATTGTGAAAAAAAATCTTTTAAAAATTCACTAAATATCAAAAATATAAAAAAAATTACGAGAATTCAGTGCATTTTTTGTATTTTTATGTATTTGTTAATTTTTTAAAATATTTTTTTACAATTTTTTTACTTTTTAGATACATCTAAGTAATGTGCATCTAAAAATGTAAAAAAATATTTAAAATTTTAAAAATATTCACTAAAAAAAAACACGAAAACCAAAAAACTCAATTTTTAAAAAACTTAATCTAAAAAACTCAAATCACACAAACTGATTAGTTTTAAATTTTTATAATTTGTATAATAGGTATGGTTTATAATTTTAAAATTATATTATTATAACATGTATTGATACATTAATTAATATAATAATTAATGTGTGTAGTACTTATTAGTAAATTAAACATGGTAATAGAGCTGCATTAATAGTGATTGATTAGTAGTAGTAATTTTTGGTAATAAATTTCTATAATTAGTCATAACATATGATGAAATCATTTATAAAAATCAAAATTTCAACTCCCCACAGATCTCTCACACCTTTCAATGGTGTGAAATTTAGAACCACTCATAATAAGGCCTCGTTTGGGAATCCTCCTTTTTAGTTAAAAAGCCAACAAGTTATTAAATTAGTCAAAAAGCTAACAATTTATACCAAAAAGTCAAAGATTCTCTTTTCTCTTTACTTTTTGCACATCTTTTCGTAAAAAAGCCAAAAAGTCATCCCAAACGTACTAGTTTTTTTTAGCTCATATTTTAATCAAAAAATCAAAAAGTTACTAAATTAGCTTGTTTCGAAACGAGGCCTAATTAGCCTAAAAAATCTCATTCACTTCAAATCCCATATTTCAATCAACTCTCATCGCTAATTGAAGAGCTCCCACCCACATAACAAAACAACGTTAAATAAAGATTGCATAAAAATGGAGGCCTTGATTTCAAGGCCTGCCTAAACCAATGAAAGTGCTTTTGTTTATCATTAATCCAAACATTTTTTACTCAAGACTAGGTTTAATTTTCTTAGGCTAATGATTAGGGAAAAAAATAGTTTATAACCTAGATCAATGGAATTAAGATTAACCCATTTCACTAGTTACAGTCTCTCTCTGTTTGACTCTTCTTGATCTCCATTTTTAGTCAATTCAAAACCCATTCTCTCTCTCTCTCTCTCTCTCTCCAAAAACCCATTTTCTTGATTAATCAACAAATCTCAATCTTTCCTCTTACAGAGCCAAGAAAAGCCACCAAAGTGAAGAACCAACCAGTCATTCCAAGAAACCAGAAGATTCTACAAATAAAGAAAAAATAAAGTTGAATACCACCAACACCACACCCTTCTTTTGCTTTCTCTCTTTGTTTTTCTTTTCTTTTTCTTTCTTTTCTTATCTTCAACACCAACAAGGAGAAGATTTGAGAAAGAAATAGAAACTTTTCCTATGACCTAACCCTAGATTTTCCTCCACATTACAAGAAAACCCAGAAAAAAAAAAGAGAAAAGAAATCTAGGGTTTTGATCAAAATCCCCCAGATTTTCCCAAGAAAATGTCACAATTGAAGCAAATGTCCCACATTGATAACACCCCATCAACCCCAGGAAAGTTCAAGATGGAGAAATCACCATACATTCACAGACTCAGATTCCACTCTTCTCTTGCCAAGCTCACTTTCTGGTCCTTCATGTTCTTAGGCTTAATCTTGATCTTCTTCTTCAGATCACCCTCTTCTTCTTCTTCTTCTTCCCCAATCTCTTCAGATCTCTCTCGCCGATCTCTCCGAACCCATTCTTGGGCCGACCCAGTTTGGGAAAAACGGGTTCGATCCTCTGCCCGAGTCCGATCCCACAATGGCTTCACCGTCCTCGTCACCGGCGCCGCCGGCTTCGTCGGAACCCATGTCTCCGCCGCCCTCAAACGCCGTGGCGACGGTGTCCTCGGCCTCGACAACTTCAACGATTACTACGATCCATCTCTGAAGCGAGCTCGACAAGCCCTTTTGGAACGAAGTGGAATTTTCATTGTTGAAGGTGATATCAATGACATTGATCTTTTGAAGAAGCTTTTTGAGGTTGTTTCATTTACCCATGTAATGCATTTGGCTGCTCAAGCTGGTGTGAGGTATGCTATGGAAAATCCAAGCTCTTATGTTCATAGCAACATTGCTGGTCTTGTTAGTGTTCTTGAAGTCTGTAAATCAGTCAATCCACAACCTTCAATTGTTTGGGCATCTTCTAGCTCTGTCTATGGACTCAATACAAAAGTACCCTTTTCAGAAAAAGATAGAACTGACCAACCTGCTAGTCTCTATGCAGCCACAAAAAAGGCTGGTGAAGAGATTGCACACACATATAATCACATTTACGGGCTTTCGCTAACCGGGTTGCGATTCTTCACGGTTTATGGCCCTTGGGGTAGGCCAGACATGGCTTATTTCTTTTTTACAAGAGATATATTGAAAGGGAAATCAATTCCGATCTTTGAAGCGTCCAATCATGGCACTGTTGCGCGTGATTTTACCTACATTGATGATATTGTGAAGGGTTGTTTGGCTGCATTGGACACTGCTGAGAAAAGCACTGGGAGTGGTGGGAAGAAGAAGGGACCGGCTCAACTGCGGGTTTTTAATTTGGGGAATACTTCCCCTGTTCCAGTTTCTGATCTTGTTGGGATTTTGGAAAGGCTTTTGAAAGTTAAGGCTAAGAGGATGATCATGAAGTTGCCTAGGAATGGGGATGTGCAATTCACGCACGCGAATATAAGCTTGGCTCAGAAGGAGCTCGGGTACAAGCCCACAACAGATCTGCAGACAGGTTTGAAGAAATTTGTGCGGTGGTATCTCAGTTACTATGGTTCTGGTAAGAAGAGTTCTCAGTGATATACACATTCATTCAATTGTGTGGGTACTAGTAGGATGTTTCCAATTCTTGTTCATTTCGATTCATATGATTGTTTTTTTGTGGTTACCTATCTCTGTTCTTTTGCCCCGATTATCTTGTTTTCGTGTATCTTTGATGATGCCATACGAGAGAGAAACTTGCATTCCACGACGAAGAAGGTATTTTTTGCGGTTGGTGGACCTTGTTTCATTCTGAGCTGTATCAAAAATCCAGAACCATGTTCTTAATTTCTCGCGAATGTAATTGTTGTAGTTTTATCATTAGAATTCATGACTAGTAGAGCATTTGGCGATTGGTTGATGACTTTGTATAATCTTCCATGGAATTCCAATAAGATAGCACACGATAGTTTTAGATTTTCTGATCTCTTTATACATTATTTGAATTATATTTGACTTGTATGTGTTGCCAAAATGTGTGGTTTATTTATAATGCGAATCTTTTTATGTAGCTCTGCCAATTTATATAACTCGAATGCTTGTAGTGATGTCTGTTTCACTGTGCCTGAAATTTTTCTACATGTACATTAAAATTTTATTTGGTGGGTTTCCTCCGGCCTTATTTATTTAGGGAAACACTTTCAATATTTGTGAATAACTAGGTGGAGATATTGTATTTGGAGATTGAAGAAACCTTTCATTTTCTCTTTTTGGGATTTAAGGAAACCTTATAATTGGTGGAGATATTGTATTTGCAGATTGAAGAAACCTTTTCCTTTCTTGTTTTTGGGGGGGTTTTCTTGATTAGTTAGAGATTGAAGAAAGGGAGTGGTTGAATTTAGAGATTTCTTCACTTAGGGCATCCTTAAGTTTTTACAAACTTCTAGAAGTATATTGGCTGATGTAACCGTGGGTGGTTGCTGAGTTTCTAAAATATTTTAGTTTGTTTCAATTCTTCAATAGAATAAGCATCAAGCATTCTAAAGTCTAAACGATTGATCTCTTCTCTAGGTAGAAACATATGCTACAAGATATGCTTGGATTCTAGTATTGTGTGTTTGCTATTTGATGGGAATAGCTATCAGAGATCTGTGTAAGATATGCAAATTTATTTTTATTTTTATTTTTTTTATAAAAAAATAAAAAAAATTCAATCAGCACCTTCACCTAGCTCATGGGCTCTTCAAACATTCACTGATTTGTTCTATTGGAGCTTCGGTGTCTCTTAAAGGTCCATTTTTGTTTTGCTTTTGCATGGCCTATATAACCTACATTTTTTTATGACTCAAGGGATGTTGTTGTGGTTTGCTCATAATTAATCTATGTGTGGTGTTTTACCTAAAGGAATAAGCACCGACTTTAAGTCTATTTTCTATTTTCTAGTAGTTTAAAATTTAGAACAATTGGTGAGTTCAGGTTGGGAGAGGTCTTGGATTTGAGTCTATGGTGTCCTAAATAAGTATACTTTTTGTCTTTTTGGACCAAAAAATTGAAGAAAAAAATATTGATATTTGGGTTAACTTTTTAACTTTTTATGGAAAAATGTGTATTAAAAAATTGTATAAATTAGTGTGTATGGAAAAATTAGGATTGAGAGTTGTGCAACCGTAATTTTTTACTTTTAGTGAATAGTGATAACTTTTAACTTTTTGAGTAACTTTTTGACTTTTTAATTTTTCTTTAACTTGCCAAACTTGGCCTTAGTCTCTTTTTTTGCATTATTTCTTGTCTCTATCTGTGGATGTTTGCATCTATATGTACAAAACGGGGTTGCTCATAGAGAGCGCGTTGGAGAGCTTAATGTACATTGTTGGACCTATTTTCCAAGCCTGAACATAAGAGGAGGCTGGTTTGGTTGAACCGTTAGCCGTGCCTAGCAGACCATGGGAGAGTGTGTCTGTAGATTTCATCAGAGGACCACCTAAGGTGGAAGAGATTTTGTCTGTATGGAAAAATTAGGATTGAGAGTTGTGCAACCGTAATTTTTTACTTTTAGTGAATAGTGATAACTTTTTAACTTTTTGAGTAACTTTTTGATTCAAAAAACCAATCCAAACCTATCGGATTGGACTGGACTGGATCGGATTACGGATTTCACGGATTCCTTGCTCAGCCCTATCTCTATCTATGGATGTTTGCATCTATATGTACAAAACGGGGTTGCTCATAGAGAGCGCGTTGGAGAGCTTAATGTACATTGTTGGACCTATTGTCCAAGCCTGAACATAAGAGGAAGGCTGGTTTGGTTGAACCGTTAGCCGTGCCTAGCCGACCATGGGAGAGTGTGTCTGTAGATTTCATCAGAGGACCACCTAAGGTGGAAGAGATTGGTTCCATTCTCGACAATGTGGACCAATTTCCCAACTATGCCACATTCATTGTAGCGCACAAAGTGTATCACAACTGAAGAGACGGCCAATTGGTGTCTCAAAATGAAATAACTGTAACCAAATCTGAGTCAGGTGTGTTTTAGAAATCTCAACCTCAAAACTGTCTAGATGGCGGGTTTATGCTAAACGCATAACTGAAACTGAGAACATTTTATGATGTAGAACATGTAATTTGTTTTTAGGTTTTAACAATTGGAATTTCTTCATTTCTATTTGCTATCTGGTTGTTGACATCTAGGCTCCAATTACCTTCATCTGAGATTCTTTAGCCAGCTAATGTGGTTAAATAGGATTTTCATCCTTTTACCATCTGTGGGGTCTTTTCTAAAAAGATCATTTATTACAAACACCTCTTAGAGTGATGATTGAGACTCCCACTCTCACAAGACCCTCACAAGATCTCCAAAAATATGGATCATCCATGAGACGGACCTTACACATACATGAATGGGCTCTATACATATATGGAGAGTCAGGATCAGTGTAGGGGTGCGGGGGTCATCTCCAAAAGGGGTCTCAAACATTTCTCCACCTCAAAATGAGTGTCGTACCCATGTACACTTCTGACATGCCACGTGGCATGTTAATTTTTTTTAATTATTATTACTTTTGAAGAACCAGTTGAAGACGACACTTCATGGATACATGTCTTGTGTTTAGACATGGTTCAGGGCACTTTTATTGGTTTCTTTTATAATTTTAGAATCAAAATAAAATGGGCAAACTACATATACCTCCCTCGAGATTTAGTTAAATTACAGATATTCCCTGAGGTTTCGGAAATTACAGATACCTTCCTGAGGCTTATATTTTCATAATGAATTGCCCCCTAAGGTTTATATTTTTATAACAATTTGCTCCTTCATTTGTTATGCAAATAGTACCTTCAGGGGGGTATCTGTAATTTCTTAAACCTCAGGGGGTATCTATAATTTTACTAAACCTCGAGGGGTTATATGTAATTTGCCCAAATAAAATTTATGAAAAGTAAAAAAAATAAAAATACACGTGTATATATTTGTTGATGTCTCTTACATATTTGTGTCCTAAATTTATATTCATATAAATAACAAATAAAAATATGAAAAATAAATTTTTTTTGGTCATATTCCTGCTTTGTCTGTATTTTAATTTTTTAAAATTGCTGTCTCGTATATGAACCTGTGTTTGTGCTCCGGTCCCTGTTTCTTAGCGGGTCATGCGACATGGTGCAATACGATATATAAACTATTGTCCAAATTGGTGTAAATTAGTGTTAAGAATTATTGTGGTGTTTGGTTATATAGGCCATTGTGGTAGTGAGACAACAAATTGTAAAATTAAAGTTTATTATGCCTTATTTATGATGTTTGGTTATGCACCAAAGTGGTGATTACGATTAGTTGTGGTGGCTTTGGTTATGACTAAAACGATCTTCAGTTATAATTCAAATTAGTGTTAATTGCAATCTAATGTGATTATGATTAATGACTCATTTATTTAATTTTTAAATCTATCTAAAAATGGAGGGGCATACCTTGTGTGGGTGTATATAGTCAAATTTTCCTTTCCAAACCTCATGAGGTATATTCAGAGGGTTATAAATACAATAACAAAGTAAAATAAAATAAAAATTCAAAACTCATTGCCTTCAATCTTAGAAGTTATGTACTTATATATAAGGGAATTCAGGGTATAGGACACAGAAAAATAACACTGTATTTTGTATATCTTTTATGAGAAGCTATGTGCTTATATATAAGGGAATTCAGGGTATAGAAGCAACAAAACAAGACAAAACATGGAGGTACAACTCTAAACAGGGGTGGTGAAACTCTGACTTATACCTTTCTATGTTTGTGTAATTTTTCTTTTGTGTTTCACTGAGTTGTAATTTTTTTTTTATCTATATCTTTATCTTTATTTGTATTAGCATTACTTAGTGGTGTAGAGTAATAACCTGCACCACTTTTTGTAGTATGGCTATCTTTTTATTTTTTTCCTTATGTTTGGAATTTAGCTGCTTTATATCTTCTTCTTTCCTTGATCTAGTATTCTTCATTCAATAAAAATTATAAAAAATAAAAAAATAAAAATAAAAAAAGAAGAAGAAGAAGAAGAAGAAGAAAAGAGAAGAAAAGAAAAGAAAAGAAAAAAGTAAAAGATTCTTGAACTAGGAAAAAAGGTTGGTACACCAGCTGCCAAACCCTTGCAAGGGTGCACTGGCAGTCATCTGTTAGTTGTGCCATTTGGAGAGGGGAACATTCACATTCTTTTCTTTAAAAAAATATTGGATAAATTACGCTGATCTTTTTTGAGATTTAAAAAAAAAAATACAGTTATCACAAATTTAATATAATTATATTTGAGTCCCTTGAGGTTTAAAGTTTTAATTCCATAGCAATCATTTCTTCATCAATAATTTGTTAGTTATATTGGTGGAAAAATAAGGTTGTCATATCATCTTTTTTACTCTGAAATATATATTTTATTTTGTTTATTTTTGTGTCTTCACACCACTTGCATTAATTTATTTTTTTAGCCTTACTAAAAAAGAGATTGGTATAATTATGTTAAAAATAGAAGACTTATATTTTTTTAATTTTTTTTTAAAGGAAGTCAGTATAATTTATCAAAAACTATCCAATGTCGTGTGCAACAATACACAAGGTCTAGATTATGTGCAATTTTTTTCTTTTTTCTTTTTAAATATTTATTTAAATTTACAATCTAAATGCAATCTTGCATAAATAAAGTCAGATTTTTATAGTTATTTATTCATTCTTGCATAAAAAAAAGTCAGATTTTTATAGTTAGAATACAATTAGTTCAATCAAACTTTCCATTTAGATGTTTCAATACAATTGAGTAGTTGAGTTTTTTTTTATTTTTTTATTTTTTGTCATTGGTAGTTCAGCTCAGGTTCTGTAATTATGTTTGTTTAAAAAAAAAAAATTAACAAAAGGTTTGCTTCATTATGCTTTGTCTCTGCAACAAGCAAGCTTTGTTGACTATATGGACAGTGAAGTTTCTAAATATAAATCCAGTGTAGAAGTTGCAAGTTAAACTAATATTGGCTAGTTTGGTGCAATTTAGGATAAGTTCACATTTGTAGAATTTTCGCTTTACTTTCTTGTAGTTTGATTCATATGCCGTTTACTTATATCATTTAAAAATAAACACATAATTTCTTAAAGTTTGTGGACTAACGTACATTATTAGACATTTTGTTTAAGTTTATATGCTAAGATATAAAAAGACTATGCACTCATTTCTAAATATTAAAAGAGTTAAATCACACATGAAATAAAACTCCAGAGGTTAAGTTGAAGTTTGCCTCTCAAAACAATGACAAAAATGTCTATGATTTGTATAACGAGATTACTTATGTACAAGGGTATTTGAGTTTCCTTCCGAGTCATTAACAGGTTAGATTCACACCACTTGCATTGATTCATTTTTTTAGCCTTACTAAAAAAGAGATTGGTATAATTATGTTAAAAATAAAAGACTTATATATTTTTTTAAAGAAAGTCAGTATAATTTATCAAAAACTATCCAATGTCGTTGTGCAACAATTTTGGCCATACATTGATGTGGGTTCCACACAAGGGCTAGATTATGTGTAACTTTTTTCTTTTCTCTTTTTAAATATTTATTTAAATTTATAATCTAAATGCAATCTAGCATAAATAAAGTCAAGGTTTTATAGTTATTTATTCATCCTTGCATAAAAAAAGTCAGATTTTTATAGTTAGAATACAATTAGTTCAATCAAACTTTCCATTTAGATGTTTCAATACAATTGAGTAGTTGAGTTTATTTTATTTTTTTATTTTTTGTCATTGGTAGTTCAGCTCAGGTTCTGTAATTATGTTTGTTTAAAAAAAAAAAATTAACAAAAGGTTTGCTTCATTATGCTTTGTCTCTGCAACAAGCAAGCTTTGTTGACTATATGGACAGTGAAGTTTCTAAATATAAATCCAGTGTAGAAGTTGCAAGTTAAACTAATATTGGCTAGTTTGGTGCAATTTAGGATAAGTTCACATATGTGGAATTTTCGCTTTACTTTCTTGTAGTTTGATTCATATGCCGTTTACTCGTATCATTTGAAAATAAGCACATAATTTCTTAAAGTTTGTGGACTAAAGTACATTATTAGACATTTTGTTTAAGTATATATGCACATAATTTAGGATAAGTTCACATATGTGGAATTTTCGCTTTACTTTCTTGTAGTTTGATTCATATGCCGTCTACTCATATCATTTGAAAATAAGCACATAATTTCTTAAAGTTTGTGGACTAAAGTACATTATTAGACATTTTGTTTAAGTTTATATGCCAAGATATAAAAGGACTATGCACTCATTTCTAAATATTAAAAGAGTTAAATCACACATGAAATAAAACCCAAGAGATTAAATTGAAGTTTGCCTTTCAAAACAATGACAAAAATGTCTATGATTTGTATAACGAGATTACTTATGTACAAGGGTATTTGAGTTTCTTTCTGAGTCATTAACAGGTTAGACGATATAATTTAGTCCACAAAATATAAAGAAATATGGGATTATTTCTACACAAAAAATATTATGCACACATGAGCTAAACCATAATAAATGAAAATTCCCTAAAAGTTAATAATATAAATGAAAAAATTAAACCCCTCACTTGCTAGTGTTTCAATAATTAATTTTTTCAAAATTTTAAATTATTGTTATCTCATAATTTATAAATAAAAGTTGCACTAATGATAGGGTCAAAATAAGAAGAGAATATATAAGCACCCCATAATAAACTGCACTAGCCTCTGTTTGGCAAGTTGGTTTTCAGGCTTTTTTTGGTTATTTTAGCCACAAAAAATAAAATAGGCTATTTTAGCCATAACAAACAAAACATCACATCCAACCTATAATCATTACATTCTTCTCTCACAAAAAAAGTCAAAAAAGCCAAAAAGCCAAAAAGCCCTTCCCAAACTAAGCTTTTTAGCCTAGGCTAAAATAGCCAAAAAGCCAAAAAGCCAACTTACTTCCCAAACCAAGCCTAAATGAGTGCTGAACTATTTGTATATAAGAACTCTGAGATGACAATGGGGCAGATTTCATTTTTTTTTTCCTCCAATTTCCGAGTATGTTATAATCTTGTGGGAGTTTCTATATACATCTTCTTCTTTTTTTCAGTTCATACTATTTTGTTCGTTCGAATATCAACTACGAACCAAAATTAATTGTCTAGATATCAATTATTAAACTAAGATTTTATTTAGAAGTTGATATTCAAACAATTTATTTTTGTTCAAAAGTTGATATTCAAAAAATAATGCCAACTACGAATATTTGTGAACAAATAAAATCACTTCCAATCTTACATGGTAAATATTTTGAGCATTCCATCCTTGCCCTAATGTCTAGTTATTTTTCAAACCCTGTCCCCAATTTCCCGTCTCAAATATATCATTTTCTTTTCTTTTTTATTTATTTTATTTATATTTATTTTTTTGAGAAAAATATACTTTTTTTGTTGTTGTTGTTGTTGTTTTGGAGAAATATGTACCAATTTTTACCACTCATGTATAAGGAACAAAATATGGCTAAACCAAAACTTAAAGGCTACTAAAGTATGTTACAAAATAGTTGATTGCAATGTAATGCATTGTATGAGTGGCTCTAAGATCAACTTGATTCTCCCGCATCAACTTAGATACTAATCCGATAACTTACTCGTTCATTTTTATAAGATCTCATGCGGATGAGTTTTTTATTCATAAATCTCATTTGGAGGTATTTTAACCTAATAAGTTCACTAAAAAAAAATTATATAATTTGATATTTTCTCCATGGAATGAGGGAGAGATCTTCCTCCTTAAAATAAGGGAGGGATTTTCTCTATGGAATAAGGAAAATATTTTCTTTTTAAATTGAAGGAGAGATTTTCTCCATAAAATGAGGGACTATTATTATGTATTAGTTTCAAAATAGAAACATGTGCAAAAAATTAAAAATGATGATTTGGTCATATTATATTAAAATGACCTAATGGAATACTAAAAAAGAATACGAGTTAGATAGAATAAAACACTTAGAAAAAGGATTTATCAAAAAATGACCCATTGTGGATTCATGAAAAGATTTATATTAATTGTAATAACATAATTCTATCATATTTTTCATTTAAAAAATGAACAGTTATTTTCAAAAGTGTACTTTTTATTAATTTTTTTGAAAAAAGAAATAACCAAAATTATGTAGTTGCAATTAATAGATCAATCTAATTTCGATTTTCGATTTTTTATTTTTTATTTTTTTATGAATAATCTCACATATAAATTCTTACAAGATGATAATTGAAATGAGTTCCGTAATGAATCCCATGAGTCAGGTTGGACTTGAAAAGGGCTCAGCAAAAGGAATTTCTCACCTTCATTTCTATTTTCCTTGAAGAGTTAGTCTACATAATTTTCACCCCTCATGAAAATTATGTCCTAATGTATTAGTTTAGGTAGGGTGGCGCCCCTCAAGAAGAGGGTATTTACTGAGCCTCTCACCAACTCAGCAAACTTTATCCCGTTGCAAATTATATGACATAACATGGAAACTGATTTCCATAGGGACCACAGATAGTAATGCTGAATCTAAATTTTATTTTATTTTTACAGCTTGATTGAGAAATTTAAAAATCACTTTCCCGTTATTAAATCTTTAATCATTGCTTAAAGTAATGGGCAAGATGGGTTTCACCGGAACTAATAAACCACTCCTAGGATCAGGCAAATAAAAAAGAATAATAAGCATACCTTGTATGTTGTGTTCCAATAATAAATTTTGATATAAATTTGAAAACCAAAAAAAAAAATGTTAAAAAATTTGTGATTCATTCTTATTTCACTTACCTTTTTCCTTTCCCTTTTTTCATTTCCAAATTACTATCTAAATCCATGATCCAAACAGAACCTTAATCTCGGAGCAAATAAATCCAAGAACATTACTTCTTCAGGTTAAATTTGGCATTTTCAACATTGAGTAATTATTTTTTGGGACATATTTTTCTGTTTGCTTCTCATAATCTGATATATAACATTTGTACATCTGTGAGAGGTATGATATAGAGCAAGCCACTTGGCTAAAGAGAAGAGAAATGAAGGCCCTTTCCTATTTTTAGCTTTCAAATGCATATATAATCCTATTGTGGGTAGGCAGTAGAGAATAGTTTCCCTAGCCTGGACTCAACTCTAGACGTCCTTGACTTATACCTTGATTCTTGGAGAAGTTCTCTCTTTGTGGAAGTACATTTTAAAACATGGGGAGAAACTCAAAACTCTATAATCTTCTCATAGTGAACCCAAAGCAAATTAATCCACAACATCAAATACTCTTATGTCCTCCCTCAACAACAAAACTCTCTTGCTTTAATGAAAACATCTAAAATGCTCAAAAACTGAGTATTGCTCATCCAAAAGAGAAGTGAAGTACAACCCACAACTATTACCAAATATTCCTCCCTAAGCAACAAGGGTGCTGGCTGTGGTAGACTCGCTGCAAACAAAGAACAATTTAATAAGTATAGCAAATTTGCAATCAAAGAGAAGCATGCAACATACATTGAAACAAATGGCAAAAGGAGAAGAGTAGAGATCACAAAGACCTTGATTATAGCATCATCTAAAATTAAAATATGAAAAAGGGCTTATTCCCGGTTCGGAGCGACAATATAGTTAAATACTTGCGGACCCCAACACAAACATACAGAACCTACTAATATAATATGATATTCAGCTGTGGGAAAATGCTATCACATTGCCAAAAATAATTAGCTCAACGGAACACTAGCATTCTTCCAACAAGGTACAAATACATTTTGCATTCCCAAATGTAGCAGTATGAACAATTTGTATTGATGATACATCAAGACATCCCATGTTATGTGCACTCAGGTAAGTGTTGGGTATATCTAAGGGGTTGGACCCATCAAACCTCTAACTGAAGGACGTGCAAAATTGGCAAAAAAAAAAAAAAAAAGGATCAAATTTGTTAATAAAATGGTGTTCTATGTTATAGTGTCAAAAAAAAAGGCACTTATTTTAAATTGATGGATATAATAAATTATACAACAAAAACACATATAACGATAGCTAAATAAAATTCTATAACAAAATTAAATTGATGGATATTTGTGCTAAGCTGTCTAATGGGAAGTATCAAATACATATCAATGTATATAAGTGTGAACTACATGGGCATTTAATTTATTCCGAAGCTACAGTACCAAAAAATCCTATGTTTTGATATACTAACTCTAATGATGTGTCAAAACAAATGACAATTTTTGGCACAACCAACATTCAGCGGGCACTCCAATAGTATGTCAAAATCTATGCCAACGTTAAGAATTGGCATTTGCGCTCCGAAGAGTTCACGGAACATAAAAAGCATTTTCTGTTAAACTCCAATGGTTTGTGCCAATTTTACCAAGCTACAGTACCGAAATACTGTATATTTTTGCATACTAACTCTAATGATGTGTCAAAACAAATGACATTTTTCGGCACAGCCAAGATTCAGCGGGCACTCCAATAGTATGTCAAAATCTATGAAATGCTAAGAATTGGCATGCTGTCTGATGGTGATGGTATGCTATCTGGCCTGTGCCTTTTTTTCACAGGCTGCCACCTTAGCTCAAGTTTGACTTTCCAATAGTGCAATGCATATACATTCCATTATGCCACAAGGCAGCCCAAGATCCACCTCTAATGTACCATGTTAGAATTTTGGAGGCAACCAAACCAAAACAAATTGACCCACAACCCAACAGCCGTAGAAACAATCATATCCAAAAATGCCAATACATTTCTTTATTCAATTTCTATTGTGCTCAATTCAGATGGTGACTAATCAAAATTATCATGTGTCAAAGATAATATTTGCACACAAAACATTACGGCTATCAAAGGCCATGATACACCTAACTACAATATGTCACTTGATTATCTAACTCATTGCAAGGACCAAAGACATCTTCAATCATGCACTGCTCACAAGTTGCAGAAGCAAAAGACGAATGCACTGAGAACACACATCTATGAACTCCTATAATAGTATCATATCTCAACAAAAGTGATGCACTGAGTGTCTTATGTCACAATAGATGCCTAATGGTTAATGGCTGTACGCTGGAATGTATCACGTAAGATGCGATGGCCTAATAAGGTGCACAAATTCAGCAACAACATTACCCAATATTACATAAAAGAAAAGAAAGAAACAAATGTGTAAAACTTACTATTTCCAGACGGGTGGAAGCTTTTTTGTCTTCTTGTAGTAACGAGCAAGTCTGTGGATCCTGCTTTCAACCAGGATCAACCTAAACTTGGAATCCTTATCCTTCCTGTTCCTCTCCAGATGCTTCCGGATTGCGACTGCTTTCTTAATGAGGTGGTACAGGTCCTCGGGTATTTCAGGAGCCAGACCTATTCAATTATAAGAAACCATGAGATCAATTCGTCATTTATCTTCAATTCTTTTTTCTTTTTTTTTGAAAAAAATTATCTTCAATTCATTAAAGAGAATTAAAGCAGCGACAGAACAATAAAAGGAAGATGTACCATGGGCCTTGAGAATACGCAAAATCTTGCTTCCAGTGACACTCTTCACCTGGGCAATCCCATGAGAATCACGAAGAATGACACCAATTTGAGAAGGGGTCATGCCTTTCTTAGCAAACTTGCAGATGTTATCCTCAACCTGAAGGATATGAATAAGAACTGTTAAAATGTAAAGATAGTGAAAAAACTTAGTTTGAAAAAATAAAATATGAAAACCATTGGTCATGACAATTCAACCACCTAAACACTAGACAGAATACATTTATCAAACTCTGGGTTTCCAAAAGTAGAACAGAGGATTAACATGAAGTCACAATAGACAGAATTAAATTTTAATATCAAGAACAAGTTGAACAATGTTCATATAACAAAAACGCACAAGGTTTCATTGACAAAGCCACAGGTGAATGTCAGAAATTATGACAAAGCACTATCATTCATTAGAAATGAGTAAAAACCTGTTAGATTAAGATACAAAAAAGCAACAAAGTTGTTTGGGAGTATAAAGGGGGATGGAAAGGTGAGGAAATGACAGCAACATCCCTTGTTTGGATGTTCAGAATAGAGAAAGCGAAGAAGCAAAATTATATATCGCCATTCTACCATTATTGAAGTCCTCACTTCTGTTTTTGCTATTTTTTAGCGTTCCAACTAGCTTAGGTTGACAACTTAGTGACCTTGTAATATGCAACCTTAGGTAGAACTTGAGCCACTACCATGAAGAGAGCACAATGGACAAGCCTCAAAACCTTGGAACCTTGAAGTGCTATGGAAGAGCTTCATTGCGTTGAAGATGCTATGGGATGCTTTTGACAAAGTGAGGACTGAAAAGGCTATGAAAAATAAGCTTTGTAGCTAAGGTCAAAATTGGAAACACCATGTAAAATAGTCAACCAGAGTAGGTCCTCAAGGGTTTGCACTGCCCATGCGTGTGGCCAAATACTTAGGCTTATTTTCGCAAAAGAGTAAAATAGCCAAAAACCAAAAAATCACTACAAAAAAAATCAGCTCTTTTCTTTACTTTCTACAAATCTTTTTGTAAAAAGCTAAAAAGCCAACGAAAATAACCAATTCCCAAAACAACCTTTAGTTTTGGCTGACCAAAATAGAGATCCAGAGAGAGCATAATTTTGCAAGATGGGGATGGGCTCACCAAATATTGGCAAAGGGATGACTCATTGGTCTTTTTTTAAATTTCCAACGCTATGACTGACCAAAATGTTGGTATGGCGCATTTGGAAAATTTGAAAAGCAGCAGTTGGAAAGTATAAAAACTAAGCAACCATATTCTTGAAGAGAAATTATTTGAGACCTAAGACTAAGCACCTCTATACACTTGGATCACATCTCTAAAGGTTTCCCACCTTATGTGAGTCAGCGATACCTTAAGAAACAACCTTCATTACATCTTTCGGTGGAGAGCTTGCTCAATTGGGAGTGTTGCAGTCTATGAAACATATATATTTTTAGAAAGGAGTCGTAGATATTGATACTCAAATTCTTGTAGATAAGTATCTGATACTTCCTAAACGTATCCATACTTTGAATTAATCTTCTTTTATTACAAAACGTAGCATATATTTTTTCAGATACTCTAGATTACGTATCCAAACAATTAAAAATTGAGATGATAATATTTCTTGCATTACTTTTGCAGCATAATTGTTAGGATAACATAGAAGAATATTCTTTTCAATACTTTTCTTACTTATAAGATGAGAAGAAATAATGAGTTTATAATAGTATCTATATTTTCAAAATTTGTTTAAGTGATGAATCCATTATGTGTCATAAATGTATTCCATATATGTCTATCTGGAGAAAGTACGAAATAACAAGAAAATATAATGATGCTAAATCACATTTCAACAATTAGACAAGCAAGTAAATTTGCATACAACACTTCTACTTATAACACTAGTGCGAAACGGAAAAGCATATTTGCAAAACATTGAGGTTTTGTTTATAGCCAACCCCATTTGATGAGACTTAATACTTGGTTTGGTTTGGTTATTGAGGTTCTATTTGGTTGTTACAAAAGCAAAAAAAACAGAAAGTAGATTGTAAGCCATACATTAACGCATCCAAAATGATTTAACTGATGGCTTATTGGCCCTGATGGTATATCACACTGCATTTGGAGGACATATTATTTATGATTTATTATATTATTTACGATTAATTATATTATACAAATTTTTTTGGATGAATAATATTATATATTATTATATTAATGTAATTTATAATATATGTTAATATTAATGTAATATGAATAATATTATATAATATGAATAATATTATATTTGAATAAAAAAAAAGAATAATATTATATATTATATTATTATATTATGAGATTTATATTATCTACTAATATTATATACTAATAGACTACTAATATTATATACTAATAGAGGGAGATCGAGAGAACAGAGAAGAGAAGAAAAGAAAGAAGTCGGCGACTGAGAGAGAGAGTAGAGGGAGATCGAGATCGACAGACGAGAGGAGAGGAAGAAAGATCCACAGATCGAGAGACGAGAGAGTACACAGCGAAGGAGATCGAGAGACGAGAGAGAAGACAGAGCAGGAGATGGAGATCAAGCATCGAGCATGTCGAAGCAGCGACCGATGTCTTCACCGTTTCAATAGGCAACCAGGTTCTCTCTTTCTCTCCCTCTTTCATTTCTTTTGCTGTCTGTAAAGAGCCGTGTCCGAGAGAGAACACGCGAATCCGACACAAATCCCACACCTGCACCCGTGTCGTGTCGACACGGGTACTTCACCCCAAAGTGCCGAGTCCATGTAACACAGCATATACTTGAGATTGTATATTTATATATCTATTGCAAAACAAACGTAGACAATAGGAAATTATATATCCCACTAATCTAGCTGGATAACCAATTCTACAATAATCTCATTGATTGTAAATCCTTTCATTATTAATCCTGTTAATCAAACAGGCCCTAAGAGACATAGCCGCAAATTCTTAAGGGTCGTTTGGAATGTCCTAAATAAATGCACTTTTTGTCTTTTTGAACTAAAAAGTTGAGAAAAAAAAAAAGATAGATGTTTTGGTTAACTTTTTGTCTTTTTACAAAAAAAATGTGTAATAAAAAATTGTATAAATAAAGTGTATAGTGGAAGAAATTTGATTGGTCGTACGGCTGCCCTGTGGCTGCTCCAGCATGTCTGCACAGAAAATAATTGCCTTCTTCGGGGTAAAGTGTTTGGGCAGTGATGGTCGGTCCGTGGGGGCCACTAGGAATTCCGTTTTGATAATCCGAATCGTGCAATATGTACAACTCGTCGAGTATTATATGCCTGTAAAAAATCACGTTAATCGAATATCGATAGCTATATGATCGGATTAGTTTTTTTCAATAGTTAGCTATCACACCATCCGTTTTGTTTATACAAAACTGATTTGATCTTATAGATAACGATATCCGATCAATGCGATTTTTTACAGGCATATATTACTCGACGAGTTTTATATACTGAACGGTTCGGATTATCAAAATGGAACCCTTAGTGGGCCCCCAAAGGCCCAATATTACCATCAAACTTTGTACTTTACCTATGAAATTTTTTGTTTTGCCCCAACAAAAGTGTATATTGGCCTAGTGTCAATCATAAGGACGGTTGTCACGTCCACTCTCTAATTTGTATTATAAAAACATATATAAAATATTTTTTTAATATTTTTTATTTATGAATAGTAATGTCTTATTTGCTTTTTGTGTAATTTTTTGACTTTTTAGATTATATGGGAGTTGCCAAACCAGCCCTTACTATCAGCCAAGTTGATACTAGTCATTTTTCAATAGTGACTCAATTTATGACTATAATTTTGTACAAATATTTTCTATTATTAAAGGCACACAGCTTAAAAGAAGCTGCTTTGTCACAAATTTTTGATTTTCCAAGAATGCCACTAAAATTATTAATTGCAAATTCCACATCCAGTATCTGCTCTAAACCGTATTCAAATTCAATCCATCTCCTTCATTTATTAAACCGCCCAAACCATCAAAATTTTAGATTTACAATTGCAAACCCACCACTAGTTATTATAAAATAAAATAAAAACCCTATTGGACAAATCAATTTCCAGGCTACAATCAAGCATTTCTTGGGTTTCTTGAACCCCAATTACAATTATAGTGATTACATTTCCACTAAAGCCGAACAAACAATAAATTGAAGAGTTAAAAAGGATTTAGGGTTCCATACATCCTGAGAAGAGATCTTCAACCAACTTGGTGGGGTCCTCTTGTATGGTAGAGCTGAAGCTGATATACCCTTACTGTAACAAATACAAGAAACAGAATAGAAATCAAAATATTGTATACAAATAGATGATACACATGTATATATATATATATATATATGTGTGTGTGTGTGTGTGGTTACAGATATAGAGAGATAAGATCGGAGAATGGGATGAAGAACATACCCACGACTGTGCATACGACCCATGTTGACGGTGGTGGTGGTATGGACTGTGTCGCTGCCGCGTTGGTTTGCTGAACACCGCTTGTAGCAAAGCACACGAAACCCTAGATGAAGAGGGAGGCTAGGGCTTTTATGTATATTTCACTTAATTGCATTCGAGTCCTTAGGGTGGGTTCGTTTTCTGTTTCAACCCAAGTGGATGAGATTAGTGACAATATCATATCATTTCACTTTGCGAGAAAATTATGGTGCGCTACCCACTGTTAGGGGTGTACGTGATGTGATTCAAGTAGCTTAAAGGTAAAATTATAAATTAAATGGTGCCTGGTTGGTTGGCAAGTAATCAAATTGTGGTTTGAGTGATTTTAATTTACTAGTTGATTGAAGAATATTCTTAAATAATTATCAAGTATTTACATAATATATAATACTAATTTGCATAATATTTTATATATATATATATAACACAAATTAATTTTACATAATATTTTTTTTATATATAACTATTAATTTTTAACAAATTTCATATTTTAAATCTTTCTCATACTCGTTTTTAATTTAATATTTCATTAGAGGTAAAAATATATATATATATATATAATGAAGCGAAGTGGTTTTGAAGATGGATTATAAATTTAAAAGTTTAATCTGCTGTTAGAGGATAGATCGGTTTGATTTTAGCAGATTTGGTGATATTTTGCACAGCTCTACTAATAGTGCATAAAATATTTAGAAAACTTGATAATCGAACCGATCCGACCTCTATGAGTTTGGTTTTAAAAAATATATTTATTTAGTTTTGACCCAAACATATATATTGCATAAAAATATTTATTTATAGAGAAAATTAGTGAAAGGTCTATTCCAAAAGAGTATAAGGAATTAGATCAAAAGCAAAATCTTATTTAGTGATAAGGACATGTTGAAGAAGTCATCGGAAAAAGTTGATGGCATTGGAAAAGTCTTCAGCACTAGAAAATTCGTCAAAAAATTGATTGAAAAAGTCATTGGTAGTGGTGACGGGCAGCCAAAGGCAGTAAGTAATGGTGGTGAGTAAAGAAATGTGTTACATTAACAGATAGGGTGTTGAATGAGTGGCATATATCACATATCAATATATAGTTAGTTTGGCGAATTTCATTAGATAGAGAGATAAGTTGATTTCAAGAGATATATAGATAGATTGATTATAACAAATAGTTATTTTTTTTGCTCAAAGGGATTAGAGCTTGGACCTAATAGCCCAAAAGATTAAAAAATAAAACTATGGCTTAAGTATCTTTATTTATGTCGACATGTCTTTATATAATGTATGTTACAAATATTAAAATAGATGAGTCATTCTATGGACACTCTTTTGACTTTTGTGGTGTTGATTACTACAAAATCATAACCAAACTTTGTCAAATTAAATCATAATCAAATACATTTTGGATTATAAACAAATTAAGGTATAAGTCATAACATCATGAGTAATAACTATCTCATAATTAACACTACTATTGAAAAATCTAAAAATCCCGAGATATTGATTTATGATTTATGATTATATATCAATTTTAAACAGTAAATAATAATCTCAATCAAACAATCAAAGACAAATTGATATTACGATTTAATATGAAAAATCACAATTGAAGTGTCTCCAATTGGGATAATAAAAAAAATTATAGGCCAAAGCTACAAAACAATCCACTAAAAAGACAAAAAGGAATTACATAAGTGTACCATCAATTATCTAGCGAATCCACGCCCAAATTGAACCGACCGCCATGTGCTTTTTCCACCACCATTTTCACTTCGGAATTGTCATACCCAACGTTAAATTCATAACACTGATGTCGAATCTACGACGATGAGCCACTCCGGAATCCACCAAAGCTTCAAGCTCAAGTTCTCCGGAATCCACTGAAGAACAACTCTCTCTTTTGTAAATAAAGGAAAACAAACAAACCCTTGATAATATTGATATGAAATTCACGGATCCATTGATTACTCTTAAATCATTAAGGAAATACTCATAAAACACTCTCCAATATAAAACACTTTGTATCTTGTTCTTCTCTAAAAATTTGGACAACCCAAAACCTAGAAATAGTGAACAATGCTTTTTATAGAAAATAGGATCACACAGATCGCTCGAGTGCATATTTCACCGCTCGAGCGGTGTGACTAAAGACGGTGCGGAAACATATAGGCTGACCGCTCGAGCGGTAAAACTTTCTTTCCAGAAGTTCAGACACTCTGCAAAAGTATTGAATAATTATTTTATTTGCTCAAGCGCACAAATGACCACTCAAACGGTCAAACAATTTTGACTGTATTTTTGCTTTTTGCTTTTTGCTTTTTGCTTTGAGGACGTTGCTCCTCGACCCTGTTGTGGTGCTGCCCCAGACCCGCCATGAGGCGCTACCCCTTGGATCCCCGCGAGCTGACCAGGTAGCTCGATCCCCGACATAGTCAGCGAAGTGACAAACATGAAAGAATTAAGATCACAAATTTCTCTACAAGGCATAATTCGGAATGGATTCGCATTTAAATACTCATAACCTCACTGAAATAAAAGATCAAACAAAATTACAACTGAATAAAATTTTGTCAAACGAGATTACTAATTACAAATGTCATATTTGAGACATATATAGAATGTGTAAAATAAAATTTTCCTAAAAGGATTTAATAACACTTGATCATTTCATATATTAAAGAAAAGTTAAGTCTATTTAACTGATCTTTCATTTCCTAACCTCCTCTACTATATAAATGCTGCGCCACTGCAGCAATTTCTCATTTCTTGACGATTGTCTCCGAATAATCTATCTTTGTGTTGTTAAAATAGGAGAATTGATCAATAAGTTTCATATTTTGAATTTATAATCCATGTTATATCATATTTTTTTTGTAATCTATTTAGTCATTTTGGATGTGTTATAACTCATTTGTCAGCTACATTAAAGTGTCACATTTAAAAAAAGTACACTAAAAAGTTTTTTAGTGTCACATTATACCCGTCACGTTAAAGTGTCATATCTAGAAAAAATACATTAAAGAGTTTTTAATTTTTTTAAAGTGTCACATCATACCTGTCATGTTGGAGTGTCACATGTCACGTTTGGAAAAAAATGTACACTAAGGAATTTTTAATTTTTTTTAGAGTATCACATCATACCCGCCACGTTGTCACGTTTGAGAAAATTACACTAAGAAGTTCTTTTTTTATTTTTTTTGAAGTGTCACATCATACACACCATGTTGTCACATTAGGAAAAAGTACACTAAAGAGTTTATATTTTTTTTAAGTGTCACATTATACTCGCCACGTTATCATGTTTGAGAAAAGTATATTAATGATTTTTTTTTTTTTTTTTAAGTGTCACTTTATATCTGTTACGTTCTCACATTAGGAAAAAAATACATTAAAGAGTTTTTATTTTTTTGAAAGTGTCACATTATACCCACCATGTTGTCGCATTAGGGAAAAGTACACTAAAAAGTTTTTATTTTTTTTAGAATAAAAGTTTTGGAGTGTCACATCATATCCGCCACGTTGTCACATTCAAGAAAAGTACACTAAGGAGTTTTTAATTTTTTTTAGAGTATCACATCATTGGAGTGTTACATTAATACCTACCATATTAAAGTATTATATCATACTTGTCACATTAACAAAAGGGTATAACTGTCACTAAAACACTATAAAAATAAAAAATAGGACTATTAAGAAAGAAACTCTTCACTAATAGGACTTAACAATCAACCCGCAAGGGTAGCTTAGTTGGTTGAGGGTAAGGGACCAAGGACCTAAGAGTTTGCTCCTCTCTAGGTCTCAGGTTCGAATCCCACCCTCAATTGGCTACTGGCGGGCCACTGCGTCTTTGCCCGGTCGGTCGGCTCAGGGCCCCGAGATTAGTCGAGGTGCGTCACTCTGAAGGAGTGCTAGTCCGGATACTCGGTTATCAAAAAAATAAAAAAATAAATAGGACTTAACAATCAATAGAAAAAATGTGGGAATAATTGAAGTACTTTTTTGTAAGATGAGATTTATTGATAAATATCCCGTTAAAATATTCATGATTTGTTTATTTTAATCACTTATTATTGATTAATTTTTTTGAATATAGTAGACCTATTATTTGTAGTGGTAATTTCAAAAAAAACTATAGATGAGGTCACTAAAAAAAATTTAAACTCACAAATTCTTTAAGGAAAAAAAAAAAAAAACTCCTTAATATTTGAACTTCTCCGGCGTTAAATAGAATAAACTTTTAATAAACTATTATCATCTTAACAAATTAAAAAAAACAAATACATAAAGTTTTACAATTCCATTTGACAATGTGCCATTTTTTAAGATTATTGCAATAATCTCATTGACAATAGGGTCAAACATATCATTTTTTATGTGTGATTAAGTAACCATTTAACTATTAATCTCTCATTTTGTTTGAATATGAGAAGAAAACACAATAGAAAATGGTCCTTTGTGTTTTTAATGGAAACAATTAATTATCAAATAAAAATTTTACGATAAAAAAAAAATCAAAGCTTTTTGGTAGCATGATTGGTGGATGGGATCCGATCGTCCTCCTAATAGCGTTACACTACTTCCATTTCAATTTGAGTTACACTGAGTTGCTTTGATTGATTTTAACATATAACTAGTTAGATCCTGAATTTAAAAAGAGGGCTGTTATTTGCCTCTATCTTTTTACTTTGGCCACCTCACTTCTTTGAACCCTCACCTAGCAAAATGAATTCAATTTTCTTTTTGAACCTCCACTTTAATACCAACTATACCCCTAACCCCAAATCCAAACCCAAACCCAAACCCTAACTCTAACCTTAATCCCATCCCCACCAACTCCGACAACCACTATCGCTAGCCCGCATCCGTTGCTACATTGGCACCACCATCCACGACCGTCACCATTGACGATGCTTTGAACCAATCCAGCTCTTTGCCCTACTGATTTGCCACTCCAACCACCTATATCTCTGCCTCTTCTTATTCACTTACAAAACCCTAACCCAGCCTTTCTCCACCGCATCGCCACCCATCGCCATCGAAGACCCAACATCTCTTTCTCTCTTTCGAACGTTGTGAGATTGCAATTGTAATAGCGGCTAAGATGATCGCTACGGTAGGGGTGGAGATCGCGATTGTGATTGCGATCGTTGTGGGAGTGACTAAGGTAGATCTCTCTTTCTCGCTCTCTCTCTTTGATTTAGATCTGCAGCCATTGCTACTTCTCGATTGAAAGAAGAAGAAGAAGAAGAAGAAGAAGAGGAGCTGGGGGTTGAGAGATGGGCTGAAATGGTGGAATAAGGGCTACAATGGTAGAGTAGGGGCTAGGGGTGCTTGTCGGTGGAGGTAGTGGTTGGTTGCGATAGAGAGAGTAGTGGTTGTGGCAGTGAAAGGTGGTTGAAGATGGTGGTGATTGCCGGAGGTGATTAGGGTTAGGATTTGAAAAATTAAGGTTAGAAGATTAGGAATGACGGTCAAAGGGAAATTTTAAGTTGGGACAAAATTGAAATTAAAAAAAATAAAAGAAGTGAGGGTTCTAAGAAGAAAGATAGGTGTTAATAGCAAATATCTTTTAAAAATTTGAACCAATTAGGATTGATTTAATTTTGAATTTAATGATAACCTGAACCAAATTGACTCGTGCCTACTCTATGGAAGATGAATACGCCCCCTCTACTGCACATGAGTGTATAATAGAAGTGGCCAAATGGAAGTTTGTTGTGAATTCACATCATAGGATGTAAAATTAGTTTTTTTTATTTTTTTTATAGGCTCTTAGACATTTTACATGTAGCTAGTCAAGAGAGAATGTTACAAAATATCTTGCCTATTACCTATTATGTGTTTTTTTTTTTTTTTTTTTTTGGAGATTGTGTAATGCTTACTCTCAAACTTTTTTTTGAGAACATAAGATATATTATGTTAATAAAACAATAACAGTGCATATCTTGTCTGTTATGTTGTAGCTTCATTGTATGATAAAATTATATAAAATACTTAAAGATGATTTAAATTTCTCTCTGATTGGAGACGCTCTCTGCTTGTTATCAAAGTTAAGTTGAGTGAAATTATAAATACGTAGAGATTGAGTCAGGAAATTAATAATGTGATGGTATTAGATTAAAGATGTTAAATAAATTGTATTTATTTGTAGAGTAGTGGGATGATAGTTGGAATTAAATCTATAAATTTACATAAAAAAATTTCAATATAAAAAATGTAATTATATTATTTTTGTAAAGTATGGATATAATGATATTTTTTATGTCCAATGATCATATCATAGAATTGAATTGTGAAAACCAATCCCAAATGGAATTGCTAATACTCACTTTGAGAAAGTTCGTAATTCAATAAATCGTAAACCCTAAAAGAATGTTTACGATTTTTATACAATTTTTAAAATATATTTTGTGAGGACATATTTTATGAATAATAACACGTGATTAAGGTGGCACCGAAGTGTCAGCCGGGGTGCTACATGCCCTGATCTTAGTGCCGAGATTTTCTCGGCTAGGCCGATGTTACTTGCAGAGATACCAGAATCCGAGATGAATAGATAAGTTATAAGAGTCCTAGAATGAGAAAGGACCTCAGCCTGGATAAGAATAAAACTTTTAGGGAGTTTATCTTTATCTATTGGAGAGTCCAGGATGAGCATTGGGCCAAAGTCCAAGCTTCTCCAGGGATCAGGTTAGTGCTAACTATAAAAGTAAGGCACCCTCGTGGGCCTAAGGTATGCTTTTTGCTTTCTGACTAGTGAGTTAAAACACTGTTTGCTATCTTTGAGAGATAATTGAGTACTGACTTGATCGTCGGAGTGCTCCCAGATAGAAAAACCACCACCGGAGTCTTATCTTTCTGTGACAGATCGTTCGGGCACAATCTATTCTACCATGTTCTGCAGTGTGATTAGAAATCAACACACACATATTTTTATATATTTTTTTATTAGATTTGTACTTATAAATCTTGTTTTATGCACATAGTCCAAAGCACTATCATTAACATTTTACAAAAGTTAAATAATTTATAGGCAAAAGGTTTGGTAAAAAAACACGTTTGCAATGATGTTTTAATGACATTTGTAAAATATAAAGATAGTAGTAAGTCTTTTTTTGATTAAAAACGTTCAATAAAGAGTATTTTGATTAAAAATATCCAAAAAAATGTTAATAACATTACATAAAAACAAAAAAGTCGTACAAAACACATATTTAGATAGTGTGTCAATGATATTTATAAAATTATGAAGATAATAGTAGTATTTTGATTAAAAAAAAAAGGATCCGAAGTTGGGACATTATTCTATATACAAATTTTATATAATTTTTTTTTTTTTTTGTTTATATATCATTATTTTTTGGGAAACACTTCTGTATGTATTCTTATGACAAATGTTATGCATTTTTCTAGTAAAACAATTTGTTCATATTTGAATTTACACGTTTTGTGGTAATGTTATGTATTTTTATGATTATGTTATACATTTTATGATTACAAAATGTTTGGATAAAAAAAATATATAACATTATCACAAAAATTAAAATTTTATTTTTTAATCACAAATTATCATAACTCTATTAAAAAAATACATAATATATACTACAAAAATAGTAATAAGAATGCATATAATGGTCATGTTTGGGAAGTGAAATTTGACAAGAAGATAAAATAGACTAAAAATAGCTAATAAGATAAAATGTTATATCAAATTTATAATTATTTCACTTTTTCTTTCATAAACATCACATTCAACTACAAAAAATCTACTAATCATCTTTCTAAATACAAAAATTTTAATGTACTAAAATAATAAAAAACTAAAATAACTTATTAAAATAACAACTTCCTAAACATCATGATATACTCACCAGACTTTCCATTACTCTTTACATGAAAGTGTGTTTTCAACTGGGACTGTCAATGAAGTAAATAATTACATTGACTGGTTGGTGTGGGTCGGTGAATGGTAAGTAAATGCATCTCATTCTCTTCGTATATATATATATATATATGTATACAGAGAAAAGTGAGAGACTCAGAGAGAGAGAGAGAGAGAGAGAGAATCTTCGTTTGAAAGGGTTTGCCGAGTCATATACCATGGCTCCACAGTCATCAGGTAATATTTTTCTACTTAATTGTTAGGGCTTTCATGGAGTTCCTCTTCTTCTAGCCTCATGTCCAATATTTGATTACTAAATTCTTCTTATATTCTTAGATTCATGCCATTTAATTGTATTCAGTATATCTTATTGAACAAATAACACTGGAACTGCTCATGTGTTAAACGAACAACTCTAAAATGTTTTTATATTTCTTTCATTTGTAATAAAATAGGTTTACGTACTGCAAGTTTAACGGCATGAGTGGAGTGGGAAAAAAAATAATTGAGGTATTTAAAAGGCTTACAAGCACATGACGAGCAATTGAAAAGGCTTACATCCGAGTTGGAGATAATGCGTGCGGAGCAGCAGAGCAACCGTGAGGAGCAACAAAAAAAAGAAGAGGAGCAACCAATGAAAGAGGCAGAGAAAACAAGACAACGTGAGGCGATGCAGTGGCAGCTTTTTGGACTTCAGAGCATGTTGGCGCAAGTTTTGGAAAATCGCAATCCACCAAATTCTCGACAATAGATAATCATGGTAATTGGTAAGTGTGTTAAACCATATTTGATTATATTTATGTTCAAAGTAAAGGCAAATAAACGTTTGATGAGAAAATCATAGAGAAATGATTGTCTTTAAACTAATTTTAGTTCAATATTTAAAAGATGGAATTTACATTTTAGTTTATGTTGACTAGTATAGAAACTTCAAACATTGTAATGTTCCACTGATCCAAGGATGAATAGTTAAACAAGAATTTTTGACTGTTCCATGGAAACCAAAATGTGATAGAGAAGGCAAAAACGAGCCGGTTGGGGCAGAAAGTTGGAAACAGCCTGGAAACAACCCGAGATCGTAGCGGTCACCTCGGCCTAGATCAAACAAACTTGTGAAAGTAAGCAACGCTTCGATATGATGCATTATGAGTTATGTAGGACATAAAAGTGTGACAAGGTACGCAAAATCGGGGCGTTTGGGGTCCAAAACTGCTCTGAATTAGCTCCTCTCTATTTTTTTTTTTTTTTCCTTTTGGTGGTCTGCCTGGTGAAGTATTGCATCAGTCATGAAGGTGGACTGATCTGGAGTAATTCTGGTGGTCTGCATCAGATATGTCTGGATGCTTGTGGTGGTATATGCTCCAGATCAATTCTGGTGGTGTGCTCCAGATCTGTGGTGGTCTGCTCCAGATCTGTGATGCTTGTTATAGCGACCCCGGTCTTTTTCCATATGATTATTGTATCCGGACTTAGGTTCCGTAGCTCCTACCATTGTATTTTGACTGTTACCGTCCTTTAATTTCCTATTTTTGAGTTGGGGGATGCAATTGGCAGGTTTGTAGCAGGTTGGTTGAGCTTGGGAGCAATGAGATGCTGCCCAGAATTTTGACTCTTCGCTCGAGCGAGCAGTTCTTCGCTCGAGCAAGCTCTTTGTTTGGTCCGTCGCTCGAGCCAGGGTTTCTTCGATCGAGCGAGGACTGCGTTTTGTAGTTAGACCTGAGAATAGAGGTTTTTGGCTCGAGCGAGCTTTTCTTCGCTCGAGCGAGTTAGTTCGTTCTTCGCTCGAGCAATAGTTCCTTCGCTCGAGCGTGTGTCTGGTTTCAGACCTGGGGGTTTGAGTTCTTCGCTCGATCGAGTTTTCTTTCGCTCGAGCGAGCTTTTGGGTTGTTGGCTCGAGCAAGGCTTCCTTGGCTCGAGCGTATCTTCTCTGTGTCTGGTCGCTCGAGCGACCAAGTTTTCGCTCGAGCGAGCCTGTCCAGTTTAATTAGACAGCAGCGGGTTTTGATCAGTCTTTTTCATCTTCTTTTTGATTCCAAACCCTAGGTCCGACTTCTCTCTCTCCCTACTCACCTTCTCTCTTAGGTTTGATCTATTTAGAGTGTGTTTCTACCCTAGTTGCTTTATTAAAAAGATAGAGGGAGTCGAGGGCTTCCATTTAATCTGAACATTTGGCCATTTGGAGCACATTGGTTTTTGGGTATTCATCTCTATCTTCTCCATTCGGGTTATTTTCTTCGAGGTAGGGATTTCCTACTCCATTTTATAAGTTTTGTTCTAAGTTTTGGTATTTTGATAAGTTGGGGTTACTTTGATAATTTTGGGAAAAACCCTAGTTGTTTAAATTAATTAATTTGTATAATTGGTTTAAGGGAATTGGGGACTTTGGTTAAATTCATGAAATTGGGAAATTTATTGATTAAATGGTGTAGTTGGATAATGTAAATCACTCGCCCATTGAATTGTTGATATATTTATTTACCCACAGTCTAGAAATAACTGTTGTGGGCTATCGGTGGAGGATAGTCGTGATTGTTGTAGACATTGCATGTGGATTAGGAATAACTGAAACTAACACATTGGTTTAAGTCATTAATTTTGACTATTGCATTGATACAGAAAATACGTGTATTGATTGAGCATTGCATTTGCATAAATTGATTTGTGTGGGAGGAGATGGGGATGTACTCCACGGTTTAGGGGAAGTAAGGGGATGAACCTTAAACCGGATTTTTTTGGAGAGGAATAGGGAATGGACTCCATTAGCATACTTTTATGTGTGCTTATTTATATAGAAGTGTTTTAATTGATACAACATTAAAATGTGTATCAATTTGGAAGTATGAAGTGTTTTGATTTGAGCCTGAGTCTCATTTGTTGGTTGATATTGGAAGAATGTGAATTTGATACATTATATTACACCTGTTGTAAGTTTGGCCAGGTTCTGAGCCATATTGAATTAATATATTGGAAAGTAAGTGTCTTAGACATACTGTCATGAAACTGTATAAAGATATAAACTGATTATCTTGGTTAACCAATTATTGAATGCTATTGCTTTATCATGCTTATATTTGGTTTGTATATTCTAGGGCTGTGGCTCACCTTTAGTGGAAAATCATTTTCAGGTTCGGTGATAAGCTACCTCCAAGGACTTAGCTTTGGGAGTCCACGCTGATTGGCATGGATCATGCATGAAAAAAGTTTATTGTGGAAATGACGCAGCATATATATAAAATACTAACTTTACTAGTTTACAAATATAATATTACATCCTTGTCCCAAAAGTCAAAAATTATGTTAGTGTCTCATCTCTTTGCTACAAAAAATAGGATCAGAACTCATCATGGTTAGCTTACAAAAGAATTTTCTTCTACAAATTCTAGATTGATGGGTCAAACAATCACAGGAAGTAGTGTTGCATAAAAAAACTCAACTTCCCATCCTAAACGTACCATACCAAAACAAACCCACTCTGCATGGACTGTATAAATGGGGACAGACTATAGGTATCCCTAAAACGCTTGATCAGCGATCCATCTATGTATCTCGATGTATGATAAGACATTATTAAAATCAACATTCTGAATATTAATAATTCCAAAGGTTAGAGATATTGGTGAATATGTAATCTTCGAGGTAAACATTTCTCATTCTTTCAGCAAAATCTGGAGCAAAGGCCAATTATGTAGTGGAGGCGGTCATATCTTGAGGCAAGGCCGAGTATGCGGGCGGGTCCGAGATATCGTCTGCGCACGTAGGCACGGCTCTGCTTCCACGATAAGTATGCTAAATCATTTAGGATCGGCATGTACATATATTGGCCGACCCATCAATTTGGCAAGGCCTGAATATAGTCGCCTAACTATGTCTTCCGAGTCTCTCCATCCTTCTGGTGGGGCAGAGGCGGGGGTGTAGTGCTCTGCTAAGATGTCCCAAATTTATAGTCCCAAGCTCCTCCCAAAATGCCTCATTAAGATTAAACTCGGACATTCCTACATCACCAGAATTACTCATAGTACAAACGTGAGATAACGTCACAAATAAATATTTATTTCTTTAGTTTATTATTTATTTATTATGTAGTCATTTTTTATTATTATTATTATTATTATTATTATATATATTATTAGAGGAACTTCCACATGTTTTAAGAGTGGTTATGTTGGATTAGAACCTCTATTTATTTTTGGAGCATTACAATCTACATCCATCCGCTAACCCACATAGCTTACTCAATCCGCATTCGCTAACTAAGTAGACGAATGCGAATTTATTTTTTCTAATCCGCCTAAATTTAGTTAGATAGTAGATGGGAGGTCACCTGACTCAACCTAATCTGCGAGCACCCCTAATTGTAGGATATTTAATGGGGTCAGTGTCTAATGAAATAAGTGTCAACGAAGGGACTTTGGATAATCCACCCCAAAAATTTTCACTAAAGACGACCAACCACAAAAAATTTAAAATTTTAAAACTATATTTAAAAATTTAAAACCAAATAAAGTAAATATTATTTTTTATGACAATAATGTTTCATTGGATTACTAACTAAAATATGCAGCTGAACAAATAAATAAGGTAGCGTTTGGTAGAGTTTTGTAAATGTGATTTGAGAGTATGAGTTGTATTTTGAGTTTGTGAGTTGTAGAATTATGATTTGAGTGTAGAAAATTTTTTTGGTTATGGTTTATAAATAGAGTGTTGAATTGTGTTTTGAAGATGTATTTTGAATTAAGTTTTGAAAGTTCGATGTAACATGTGAAAGGTGAAAATTTGTTTGGTGATGTGTTTTGAAAATAGTTTTTCAAAACTCAATTCCACCAATAATTTATAATTAAACACACAAACTCATATATCGAATCTGTATTTTTTATCAACAATAAAACCAAACTACTTTTTTAAATACTAACATTAAAAATTGATTTTTTTTGCCAACTAATTTTTTTCAGTAATTTTTTTGAATAATTTTTTTTCAAATAATTTTTTCATTTTCAATAAACCTATGCCAATTATTTTTGTGTCAGTTAATTTTTCTATCAATTCATTTTTTATGCCTGTACAAACATCTTGTAAAATACGTTTTTTATTTTTCAAAATTTTGTTAAAGTCAATAACTTTTGAAGATACATATTAATAAAAACTAAACATAATACACTAAATTTAATATTATAAAATACAAATTATAACGTAAATCTTACAAAATATTATCAATTTTTTGATATTTATTACATGTTATAATTCAGTAATAAAGTTGTATCAGATTTACCACCAATTATTGTACTCCATGATGAGCACCCGTGAAGCTCATATAATTGGGTGAATCGGTATGCAAAAAGACTTTTTTGCCCCTCTTGCTTGAAATGAATTACTTACATGGAACAAACTCAAAAAGGGTATACAGTAATTTTACTTACCTACTAGCTATCCCCTATTGTGCCATAGCTGTGTGTTCAACCTGACTTAAAGAAAAAGGAGGTGATGCGATGTATACGGATGTCATATTATTACAAATTTAATAATATTAGAAAGAAATAATATATAACAAATAAAAAGTAAAAAAAAAAAAGAAAAATCAATTTGAACTTGCTAAACCTACCCCTTTCAATAAAATCTGAATCTCATTCGTTAAAGAAAAAGGAAACGATGCAGACAATGTATACGGATGTGAAATTATTAAAAAATTAATAATATTAAAAACAAAAATTTATAAAAAATAAAAAGTACATAAAAAAATATAAAAAACCAATCTGAAACCTATCCCTTTCTATAAAATCTGAAGGGACGATATTCAAATGTGATATTATAAAAAAATTAATAATATTAAAACAAATAATATATAACAAATAAAAAGTAAAAAAAAAATGGCTTAACAATCTCAACCTTGTGAACCTCGCACTCTCTATAAAATCTGAATCTCATTCTTTTAACCATACCAACTTCGCCATCTCATTCCATACAGCATATCCACACTTCATTGCAACACCTTCGCCAGTTCCATCAGAGATCAACGTTAATTTAGTACAGCATATCCGTGTGAAGTAAAAATTCAATTACAGGTGAGTTTTGATGGCAGTTATCTTACCTTCACATTTGAATATTAGCTTCAGATCGAAGGGAGAAGGGAGAGTGGATGAAAGGGAACACGAAGGACAACCGGCCGGTGATCCGGCCGGTCATCCCGGCCCAGGCACCATTCACTCCGTATCTATTGCCCTTGTTTCAGATCTGCTCCATTTTGATCTTTTATATTTTTTCATATCTGTTCTAATTTTTTCACACCATCGTAATGTTTGATATATTTTTTCATATATTTTTTTTATCTCATATGTTTTAATAACATTTTTCTTTCACTATTGCAGTCATCATGCCAAGAACAAAACGAACCAAACCCGAACGCAGTGAATCCTCAAACCCCGTAAACATCAAACCACAGCAAGAACATCATGACAATCCAAATAATGATTTTTAACGTACCATCATGAACAAGCCTATTCACATTTTATTAATCGACCAATTGTTACGGGAGGAAATATAAGACTACCTTCTCAATATGATCCAGTCTTAGTTGGTAAATTAGATACAATGGGATGGTTACCTTTAACTAATTTACCAAATAAGGTATACCCCTGTATTGTACGATTATTTTATGTTCACTTGACAGCTGATGACCAACAAAATGAACCGCCCAGCTGTCATTTTATCATTTTTGTGACGAACAAAAACAAGCATCCAGACTGATCAGGATGACCATCCAGACAGATGAGGATGATTGACAGATCAGAAAAAAAGCAAGACAGATCTGGCACACCACCAGAATTGATCTGCTGCAGACCACCACAAGTGTAACGCCCTCAAAATTAAACCCATATATATATATATATATATATATAATATATCATTGACATGCATTATTTAAAGAAAACAATTTATTAATTCATTCATCAGAGTATTACTAATTAAAAGCATTACATGTAACATCGAATAAAATGCCCTACAGACTTACATCTTTCCAAGCCAACACTTGGATACAAAATAAGAGTTCTAACTCAATACAGAAAAGCCCTAGGCTTGAATGTTTACATGTACTAATAAATAAGACAATTAACTAAAGATAGTCTTCTTTAAAATCAGAAGCCAACC